CGCCCCAGGATGTGGGCGACCAGTGGTTCAGGGGCTGTAAGGTCTGGGTGAGGGGTCGAACTGCCCTAGGAGTGTGTCCCTGCAACTGTGACACTGTCCCTGCCGCATGCAGGTGCTACCGGGCTGGTATGACACTGCGTGGCTGCACAGGTGTGCTGGGCGGGGGCCTTTGAGGCCTGGGGGAATATGGCAGGCAGCTCACTTCCCTCTGCTGCACTGATGATGCCTGGGGCACCAGTTGGGGAACAGACAGAGACCCCACCCGGGTTACCCCGAAACTGTGGGAGACTGTGGGAGGGGGCTTTACTGGGAGAGAAGATCTCAACACCTGCCCCCCAAGATTCGTGGGCAGCCTCTGGGCTCAGGGCCCAGCCTGGCCGTTTCTCTCCCTCCTCCAACAGCTTGGCCACCCACACCCCTTTTGTTGGGGCCATTTTAAAGTGGTGCAAACAGGTCTATTTCTGATTTTTAGGTGCTTGGGGCAGGGCAGGATGTCGGGGTTAGCCTTTGGCCAGAGCCTCCGACATGGCCATCTGAACCCATTTCCACTGCAGGCAAAGCCATGTCCAGGCTGAGCTGGGGCAGGGGTACTGGAGGGGTGTTCTACCCTTCCCAGGTGCCATTCTCCCTTACATGCCAGTGAAATTCTCTCACCCAGCCCCACCCACACAGGTGGGGTCAGGCTGGCCCCAGGCCTGGCTGTCCTCTCTTCATGGATGGGCTTCTAGAGAGGCTGAAGGCCCCCAGAGGCCAGAGCTATCCCCAGCCTGGGGACAAGTGGCTTCCCTGACCACCCCAGGGAAGGGGCAGCAGGATGTGACCCTAGAAGGGCTGGGCTCCAGCTGGGGAGATCCTGCCTTGGAAAGACTGTGGGCAGGTGCGGCTCCAAGGGGGACAGTCCCCACCCTAGCACATGTGCCTCCCGCACCCACGGCCTGCTGGCCTCCTTCTCAGATAGGGGGCTCCTTTGGGCCAGGGCAGATCTGATCCTTGGGTGTCCTCAGAAATGGGGGGCGGAGGGGTGTAAGGAAGCAGGGGGACTCTAGCTGGTGTTCTGCCTCCCCCTCCACTTTGACCCAGCTGTCCCCAGCCTCAGGTCCAGCTCACCCCTGCCCCTGCCCCGCTGACCCCCATCCACCTGTCACAAGGTCTGTTTAGGCATCAAGACCAGAGGCCCCTTCTTTGCGCCCCTCTCAGCACTCCACCACCCCGTTCTGTTTCAGATCAGTGTCCTTTTCTCCCCAAGGACGGGGGCCTCTGAGCCTAGAGAATGCAAAGACACCTCCACCCCCTGCCACGCTCACACAGCCCAGTCAATAAACACTGGAATAATGGCTGTGTCTCCAGACTGCACCTCACTGTGTGTGTGGACACTGGCCCCTCCGTGCTGATGCCTGTGAACCTCTGGGGTGCGGGGCCAGGAGGCTGTGCATACACACACAGCATCCCCCACCCCCCAAGGCTGGGCAGACTCCAGGAGTCCCCTCTGCCCAGACATAAATAAGCTCCAGCGGGGGTGGGAGTAGGGGGAGGGGGAGGGACTGTCGGGCCCCAGGTGCGGCCTGCGCTGCCTGCAGGTAACGAGAGCCTGGGGACTTGTGGCGGGGGACGCACCTGCTCCACTCGCGCCCCCAGCCCCACCAGCCCCGCCCAGAGGGCTTCCCCAGAGACTCCCCAGACTCCGGGCGGCGCCATGGGGTGGGGCAGCCGTGATGGCCAGAGACGGGTGCAGGCGGGGCGGGATGCTGGGACCGTGACCGCGGCGGCTGTGCGGGGTCCGAGTGCGCCAGCGGCGGGGACGATCGGGTGCCGGCGCCAAGCGGGCGACACGCGCGTCTCTGCGGGGCTGCGCGGGGTCCGCGGAGCGGCTGGGGGCGCGCGGCGCGGGCGCGGCGCTGGGCGCGGGGGGCGCTCCCGGCCGGGATGAGCTCACCGCAGTCGCGCCGGGGCTGAGCGCCGAGCCGGGCGGCGGCGGGGCGGGCGGCGGCTCCTCGGCGGCTCGGTGGCGGGGCCGGGCCGCGGGCCACCATGCTGGGCCTGGACGCGTGTGAGCTGGGGGCGCAGCTGCTGGAGCTGCTCCGGCTGGCGCTGTGCGCCCGAGGTGAGCGGGCCGTGGCCAGGGCGGCCACGTGGGCGGGGGGCTCAGCCCGGGGCGCGGCGGCTTCTCCCCCGCGGAAACTTTGGGGACGCTCGTGGGGACCTCGCGGCGTGGTCCCCCGTCAGGGCTCTGGCGGGGGTGGGGGGCTTCGTCCAGGCCAGACACTCATGGGGCAAGGGGTCAAGAGTGGGCGGGTCTGTTTGTGAAGCCAGGGTGGCAGGGGGGCCCTCTCCCCGTGGGAACCTGCCCCTGAGGTCCCATCTCCCTTGGGTGGGGCTGGGGCTCCTTCAGGGAGGGTGTGGATCCCGGGAAAGACGAGCGCAGTGGGCAGGGACTCGGAAAGACCCTGCCCCAAGGTACCATGGGAGCTTCTCCTAGGACTGTGGGAAGGGCTCAGAAAGACCCCTGCGTTAAGGCGCCAGGGGAAGGGGCTTAGGTGACTGGGTCTGGAGGCACCTGGGGAGGTGGCCTCGGAGCATAAGTTGAGGGTTTTAGAGAGAACCACCCCTACCCTTCAGGAGCATTATGCGGAGGAACTCCCAAGACTGTGGGGAGACATTCAGGGAACGCAGTCCCTGAGCAGGGTGGTGGGGACCCTGAGAGGTGTCCGAGAGCCTTATGGGAATATGGGAAGAGGCCTAGGGCACTGGGGACCCTAGAGAGCAGCGAAAAGGCAGAGCCTCTGCTCTAGAGAAGACCTCAGCGGTCACCACTCTGTAGTGGTGGACCCTATCCCTTGGGGCTGTCCCCCATTTGGGGTCTTCCTTCCCCCTACAGTCAGGGAGGGGCCTGGGATGAATGGGTGGGGCAGGAGGATGCAGCTGGAGCCTCCAGGGATCACCTGCCTCCATCTCTTGGGAGCCTTCTCCACTCCCCAGGCCCTTCCCCAAGAGGCTGGGTTTGGGCGCTGCTCTGCATCTTCTCGGCCCACCCCTCTCCCAGAGCTCTCACCGGACTCCTGTTAAGTTCCTTCCTTTGGGCAGTGGGAGGTCCAGCTGGCCAGACGGCAGGCTCCAGCAAATGCCAGGTCAGCTGGCACACACCCTCACACACCCTCCCCGACCCCCAGTCCTCCTGACGGACAAGGAGAAGGGGCAGCTGCCGCCAGATGAGGTGCTGGATGAGGCCGTGCCGGAGTACCGGGCCCCGGGGAGGAAAAGCCTCCTGGAGATCCAGCAGCTGGACCCGGACGATGAGAGCCTGGTCAATTACAAGCGGGCGTTGCTGGGGCCTGAGCCGCCTGCCGTGGGTATGCCCATGCCCTGGGCTGGGGTGGGGAGGGTGGGTTAGGGTTAGGGCACCTGTACACTTCTGGTTTCTCTTCAGACCCAAGCCTGCCCAACGTGCAGGTGACCAGCCTGACACTGATGTCTGAGCAGGCCCCAGGGCCCATCACCATGGACCTCACAGGTAACTCCCAGGGTGCCTGGTGCGACCCTGAGCCCCAGGCAGGGACCTCACAGGTAACCCCCTCCACAAAATACAAACTGATCTTTGGGGTAGAGACCTGGGCTCGTTGCCATGTACCTCTTAAGACCCCCTCCCCATGCCCAATCCCAAGTACTCAGACCTAGACCTCAGAGGTACAGGCCCCCCATGAGGGCTCCTGGGGCAGGGTCTCAGCCATCACAGGAGTTCACACTTAGCTGCACTTTCCCTAACAGGGGAGTTGGCTGCACTGAAAAACCGGGTGTTTGTCCTGAAGGAGGGTGTTGATTACAAAGTGAAGATTACCTTCAAGGTGAGGGAGCTGTCAGGAGGGACACCAGCCAGCCACAGGCCCAGCCCCCCCAGGTTCCCCCTAACACCGTCTGTCCTTCAGGTCAATAAGGAGATCGTCAGTGGCCTCAAGTGTCTGCATCACACCTACCGCCAGGGCCTGCGAGGTGAGGGCTGCGTGGAGGGGGCAGCCCAGGGGGAGGGCTCGGGGTGGGGGCCAGTGGGGCAGAGGGCAGCCCCTGACACCCTCGCCCTCCCCCAGTGGACAAAGCCGTCTACATGGTGGGCAGCTATGGCCCGAGCGCCCAGGAGTACGAGTTTGTGACTCCGTTGGAGGAGGCGCCCCGGGGCGTGCTGGTGCGGGGTGCCTACGTGGTCACGTCATTCTTCACCGATGACGACAGGACCCCCCACCTGTCCTGGGAGTGGGGCCTCCACATCTGCCAGGACTGGGAGAGCTGAGCGCCCCCTGCCCCAGGGCTGTGTTCCCACTTGCGGTCCTGGTCTCCCCCACCTCTGTCAGTCGCTGCAAGGGACCCCTGACCATTCCCCGGCCCCCTCAGTGGCCAGACCCCCCTGCCCTCTGTCCTGTCCCGGGACGGCCCCTCCCCAGGCCTGGCACTGTGCCCTGAACAGTCCTATTAAACGTTGCTCTGTCTTGGTGCCCTCGGTGTCGCCTGTCTGCCTCCCCGCCCCCGCGGTGGGGGGCCTCCCAGCCTATCCTCCCTGCAACCAGGCTTGCGTGCCACGGGGCGGCAGCTGCTTGGCCCCCACCCTCTTCTCTGCCCCGGCCCGTGGGCCCCGGCACTGCCATGGACGGCCAGCTCCTGCCAGTGCTGCTGCTGCTGCTCGGGGCCTCAGGCCTGTGGGGACAGGGGCCAGGGCCCGAGGGTCCCTTGGAGGAGCCCCCTGAGGAGGAGCCCCCCGAGGAGGAGCCCCCGGAGGAGGATGGGAGACCCTTGGCAGACCCTTGGCCTGGCCTTGCGGGAGCACCCTGCCCTGCTGGTGGAGTTCTGTGAGTGCTTGGGGCCGGTGGGGCTGGGAGACCCGCAGGGGCCACCTGGGGGGTTCTACCCCCCCATGCCAGGGCCACTCGCCCCCACCGTGCTCCTGGAGCTCTGTCAGAAGATACCCGAGGCACAGCCCTGGGGCTGAGCTGGGCCTGGGGGTCCAGCCTCACAGTGGTGAAGGGCACAGGTGCAGGGGAGACCCACGGTCATTGTCCTTCTACAAACTCTTCTGTAAAGGGCCAGCCAGCATTCAGGCTTGCACATTCTTCCGGGTTTTTACAAGCTTTTCACACGTGAGAGCCATTCTTAGCCGGCAGGCCTCAACAGGCAGATGGCCGGGCGCCGGCCTCAGGGGGAGGCAACGGAAAATTCCTCCTAAATTCAGTCAGGACAGTACTGGCCACTGCCTCCCCAAGCTGGGGGCCTTGAGGAGGCTGGTCTCCGGCGCTTGGGCTCCATATGGCCAAGGCTCAGGTGGGCCCCTGATGAGGGAGGTGTGGACAGGACATGCTTGCTCCCTGCTGGGCCTGACTGGCCCCAAGGTCGGCCAGCTCTGGCCGGGCAGGAGCAGGGGCTGCGGCTGGGGCAATGGAGGCCTGGGGCACCCATGGCCCTGTCCCCCAGACGCCCCGTGGTGTGGGCACTGCAAGGCACTGGCCCCTGAGTACAGCAAGGCGGCTGCCCTGCTGGCAGCAGAGTCGGCCAAAGTCAGGCTGGCCAAGGCGGACGGGCCCGCGGAGCCAGAGTTGGCCGAGGAGTTTGCGGTGACAAAGTATCCCACGCTCAAGTTCTTCCTTGACGGGAACCACAGGCACCCGGAGGAGTACACTGGTGCGGGGAGTGGGCATGGGTGGGTGGGCGGGTGGCAGGGCTGGCCCAGGCTGAGGGGAATCTCTGCAGGCCCCTGGGAGGCCGAGGGCATCGCTGAGTGGCTGAGGCGGCGGGTGGGGCCCAGTGCCACGAGGCTGGAGGATGAGGAGGGCGCCCAAGCGCTGATAGATGCCCGGGATGTGGTGGTCATTGGCTTCTTCCAGGTGAGCTGGTGGCATGAGGGCCGGGCCTGGGAGCAGGGTCTGTGAGGGCAGTCAGCCTCATAGGCTCGGGCCCCTTAGGACCTGCAGGACAAGGATGTGGCTACCTTCCTGGCCCTGGCCCAGGATGCCCTGGACATGAGCTTTGGCCTCACCAACCAGCCTCAGCTCTTTCAGAAGTTCGGCCTCACCAAGGACACCGTGGTCCTCTTCAAAAAGGTGGGTCAGGCCCAGAGTCAGGGCGGAAGTGGGGGTCGGAGTCAGGGCGATGGCTCCTGCTGACCCACCCGGCGCTGTCCAGTATGACGAGGGGCGGGCAGACTTCCCAGTGGATGAGGAGCTGGGCCTGGACCAAGGGGATCTGTCACGCTTCCTCCTCACACACAGCATGCACCTGGTCACGGAGTTCAACAGCCAGGTGAGTGGGGCTGGAGGGCAGGTGCGGGTGGGAGCGGAGGATGGGAGGCGAGCGCGGGAGCAGCCCATGAGCGCCACTTGCCCCCGCAGACGTCCCGTAAGATCTTTGCAGCCAGGATCCTTAACCACTTGCTGCTGTTCGTCAACCAGACGCTGGCCTCCCACCGGGAGCTGCTGGCGGGCTTCCGGGAGGCAGCTCCCAGCTTCCGCGGGCAGGTACTGGCTCAGCCCACGGGTAAGGGGTGAGGTGGCAGTGGGGAGGCAGGGCGCCCACGCGGACTCCCTGCTGGCAGGTGCTGTTTGTGGTGGTGGACGTGGGTGCCAGCAACGACCACGTGCTCCAGTACTTCGGCCTCAAGGCCAAGGAGGCCCCCACCCTACGCTTCATCAACATTGAGACCACCAAGAAGTGCATGCCTGCGGACAGGGGGCCAGTCACCGCCACCTCGGTTGCAGCCTTCTGCCACGCAGTCCTGGGTGGGGAGGTCAAGGTCTGCTGCTGGACTGCCCAGTTGGGGGGCGGGAGTGGGAGCAGCGGCTCTTGGGAGAGACCCCCCAATAAAGCACCTGGCCGGTTCTCCCAGCCTTATCACTTGAGCCAGGAGGTCCCCCCCCCCGACTGGGACCAGCGGCCAGTCAAGACCCTCGTGGGCAAGAATTTCGAGCAGGTGGCTTTTGATGAAACCAAGAACGTGTTTATCAAGTTCTGTGAGTGCAGAGGGCAGTGGGCTAGTGGGCAGCAGGGACCCTGCTGGCTGTGCTGATGCCCCCCTGTCCTAGATGCCCCATGGTGCACCCACTGCAAAGAGATGGCCCCGGCCTGGGAGGCACTGGCTGAGAAGTACAGGGACCACGAGGACATCGTCATCGCCGAGCTGGATGCCACGGCCAATGAGCTGGAGGCCCTCCCTGTGCACAGCTTCCCCACCCTCAAGTACTTCCCGGCGGGGCCCGGTCAGAAGGTGAGACAGGACCCCATCCTTGGTCTGGGCTCAGTCTAGGCTCTTCAGACCTCGGCTGGAGATGCGGCGTGGCCTCGGAGGGCTGGCCTTAGACCCTGGACGGTGTGTCCCCCAGACCCGCCCGTCCTTCCTCAGGTGATTGAATACAAAGGCACCAGGGACCTGGACACCTTCTCCAAGCTTCTGGACAGCGGGGGTGAGCTGCCTGCAGAGGAGCCCACGGAGGTGCCCGGAGCCCCCTTCCCGGTGGGTGTCTCTGTCCCAAGGCTCCAGGTCTCTGGACGAGTCCTCTGGATGCGTGGCTGTGACGGGCTGGGCTGGGCTGAGGGTGCAGCTTCCAGCTGGGTCTCTATGACCCTTTCCAGGAGATGCCAGAAAACACCACGGAGCCCAAAGACGAGCTGTAGTTGCACCGCTGCCAGCGCCCACCTGGGGAGCCGTGTCCCTTGGTGCCCATGGAAGCTGTGGGCTGTGAATAAAGAGCTCTGGTCCTGGACTGTGTGTGTGGTTCCTGAGCAAGGCAGGCCCCCTGGCCCTTGGTTTGGGCCCAATCTCAGCCTCCTGGGTCCTTCACATCTTGGATGGAAGATGGATCCCTGGCTCAGGTCTGAGGCTCCACTGGGGCAGGAAGGGGGAGCATGGCATTGCTGCCGGCTTCAGGCCCACTCTCTCTCCCAAGCTCTGCTAGCGTTGCTAAATGGCCCCCCCTCCCTGCCACGGAGGCTGGCCTGACTTCCTTTGGTGGCTGGGAGACAGGGCACACATCCCAGGAGCCAGCCGAGGGGCATTCCCACCAGCCACGTTGGACAGGTGCAGTCCACAGCCAGGGAAGATTCAAAAATGGTTTTATTTCATTATTATCCAAGTACCTTTGAAAAGATAATTGTACAAGTCAGCGCATGAAAAACGGGCTTGGGGCAGCCCCTCCCCGCTGGCCCAGGCCTGAGAAATGTACATATTTACATGGGCCCTTAGGAGGAAGGGGCCCAGGACCCGCTGAGCCCACGCTTGGGCCTCGGTGCTCCGTCGCCGGGTCCACACAGTGAGGCAAGAGACAAGCTGTGTTGAAGGCACTCGGTGACATGTACAATGGACAGAGGCCCCACGGGGCCCCCTGCACCCCGGCTCTGGGACAGGCCTGACCAGGGCAGGCCATGGCGGGCAAGTCCCAGAAGGAGAAGCAGAGCCTGTGGGGTGAGCGCCGGGGGTGTCCGCGGTTAGCAGCAGGGGGCCGCGGGGGAGGGTCTCAAGGCGGCCCCATGGTGGGCTCCCTGCTGGGTGGGCTCTTGAGTGTCCTGCAGAGGAGTGGGTGGAAGCCTGTGGGACCCCAGAGGGACCCCCCCGCCCTCCTGGACACAGATGGACCAAAGGGGTGGCAGCTGTGAGGCGGGCAGCACCCGGCCTTCCGCCAGCAGCCGTGTGTCTGCCACACTCTCTCAACCCGGCACAGGCCCTCATGGTGTGCAGCGCGGAGGCCAGGCCCGCCCGTCAGTCCACCTTCTCCACCTTGCCGATGACCTTCTCCTCGAAGACGGGCAGCACGGCCCCGTCCTCACGCACCTCCTCGAACACCACGCCGCATTCGAACTCGTCGCTCACCTTCTTGAAGTAGTATCTGCGGGTGGGAGGGGCGGTGAGGGCGGCAGCGTCCGGCAGTTTGGCGGCCGCCCCTGACACCTCCTGCAGGGCACGCGAGCCGGTTCTGCCCGGTGCCTGAGTGCCGGTGCTTGACACGTTCGGTGACCACATGCAGGGTCCCTGCCCCGGCCTCTAGGTGCTGTGGGGGAGGAGTGGGTGGGCGTGGGGTTTCTGTCCTCTCCACTGGGCTAAAGCGCCTGCACTCGGCCCAAGGCCCCTCCAGTGGCCACAGCAAACCACCCAGGCAGGCCCACGGTGGGCTGACCCCAGCCGAGACCCCATGGGCCCCACCCGACCTACAGAACCCAGTGAGGAGCCTGCAGGGGCTGGTCTCAGGCCGGCAGGGCTGGGCAGCCCAGGGCAGACCCGCGGAGGACGGTTAGGAGGCTGAGACGAGGCCAACTCAGGTCACACCAGCACGGGGACCAACAGACCCTCTAGACCCCTTGCTCGGCCTAGAGCCCTCAGCCACCTGAGATCACCCACGCCCCATCCGTCGTGGGGCTCACGCCGACAGCCCGTGGCCAGACAGGTGGAGGCAAGGACTCAACGAGGCACGAGCACACAGCACTGTCTCCTGAGCTGACCCCACCAATGCCTCTCACCTGTAGTTGCCTTTCTTGGTCAGCAGCTCCTTGAACTGGCCCAGGGTGACCGCACGGCCCCTCACCAGGGTCCGGTAGGGGATGGGCTCCCCACAGAAATAGTAGGCCACGACGATGCTGTCACACGACTGGGCACTCCCACCGCCTGCCTTCCTCTGCGATTTTGTCCTGGGGGGCGGAGAAGCAGCGGTGACTGCTGGGCCCCAGGCACCCCAGTAAACGACAGAGCAGGGCCTGCAGGGTGGGCTGTGCCACGCTCAGAAGTGCCACACATCCACAGGCCCCGACGCCCACCCCACCCACATAGCCACGTCCAGCCCCGGGGGGCTCACCCCACATGGTGCCTCAGCCCAGGTTTCCAGTCCTGCGCCAGCCACATGCCCTGACCCACGCGGACAGCAGCTCGTCGCCTGCCCGCCAACTGTCCGACCGGCGCCTTGGCCTGCCCACCACCCACTGCGAGGCCCTGGTCTCACTGTGGCTTGAACTGCCTGGCGGGCAGCACCCATTACCCAGACCACGTGAAGTTGGGCGAGCAGGCTTCTCAGAGCCAGAGCCCACAGCAGATGCCTCTGCTGGGCTGCATGACAGCCAGCCAGGCCACAGAACCCGCCACAGCCACCGCCTCGAGGCTGGGCTAAACTGCTCGTGTCCTAGTAAGGCCTACAGCCCCAAGCTTCAGAAACACCTAAGGCCAGGGACTGGACGAATAGAACTGTGACGGATCCTGACACGGATCTGCCTCATGGCAGAGAGCTTGTCACGAGACCATAAGCAGCAGCCAGCCACACTTCCAGAGACCGCTGAGGCCAGCAGCGCCTCCTGCCCAGGCTGAGGCAGCACCCGTCTCCTCTAGCATCCTGTCCTGTGACCGCTCCAGAGCTGCGCCGGTGGAGCCTGGCACAGCCCTTGCCCTGGCCAGCTGGGCATGTCAGTGTCATGTCAGGAAGGCCACCTGAGCTCACAGCAGGCTCTACTCTCTCTGGGGACCCCCCCGACCCGGTGCTCCTGGGCACAGAGCAGGCTGTCACCTCAGCTGTGTGGCCATCCACTGCCTGAGCCAGGCTCCCAGCGCCCGCTTCCCTTCCCTCAGTCCTGCGACCTCAAGCCCAGGCTGTCCTGGGAGCCCAGCTGGGGTTCCTGTGGGGTCCATTCTCTGCAGAAGGGACACCGAGTCCCTGCTTCTCCAGAGGCCACTGGAGGAGTGACCTATGGGGAGGCCGTGAGCCCCTCAGCACACTCAGCCGGGTGTGATGAAGTACTGTCTGGGGTCAGCCCTGCAAGGCTGAGGTGGGGGCCCCTTCCTTCTTCTCTGTCTTGAGCAGAAGTGCAGGGAAAGGGTGGCCAGCACTGTCTACGTATGGCCCTTGGCTCCCCAGTGCCCAGCCTGGCCCACGCATGCCCAGGGAGCCGACCCGCAGGTGCCTGTGGTCCACGTGAGAACAGAGCCCGCTTGCTGTGCACAAGTGCCCGGGGCTGACGCTTCCGGTCAGCAGTGCCAGGGGAGTCAGGGCTGCAGCCCTGAACCCATCAAGCCAGGCAGGTCGCTGACCAGCGAGTCCCAAGGCCTGGTGGGGACGTGAGGCCAGAGTGCGGGAGGCGAGTGGACCTCCTCTCTGGCCCGTTGGTCACTTGTCACCACGTGGACGGTCAGACGGTTCCTTTGACAGAGATACACTTGCAGACCCAGCTCTTCAGGTGCAGTGCCTGAGCTCCCATCGCGGGTACAGCTGCGCCACTGCAGCACCTGGCCGGAGGTGCAGTATGGCTGGGCAGTACCGGGAAGACCCGGGGGGAGCGCACGTACTCTGTCTCGGAGAGCTCCAGGTCGGACACCGCTGGCACCACGCTCAGCACGGGCGTGCACGCTGGCCTGACACAGGAGCGCCCCCGCTGGATGACCTCCTGCACATACCTAGGGAACAACGGCGTCAGTGAGCCGCATGGGCCTGGGCAGGGCCTCCAGCAGCAGTTGGCGGTGACCACAGAAGATCAGCGGGAAGATGGAGCAGGGGCTCCCAAGACGCTCTGTCACCACAGATGAGGCTCCCACTGTGTGCAGCGGACAGGACACCAAAGCCCTCCTTGGGTTGTGGAGCAGGGCGGGAGGATCAGGGCTCCATCAGGATGAGTCGAGAGGCCGATGCTGCTTCCATCCATCCAGGGTTCCCAGACCCTCATCTGGGCAGAGCCTCGGGCACCGGGAACATGCTGGGGTCCTGTCACTTCATGCACACTCAGAGGAGCCTTCGCCTTCCAAGAGGAGCTGCCCTGGCCTCCTCCCTGGGGTGCAGCTCTTCCTACTCAGCACTCGACACAGACCTGGGCTCTGGAGGGCGGCCGCTGGCTGCTCCGTCTGAAGGAGACTCGCTGCCTGGCAGCTCCTCTCCCAGTGGCCTTCCACCCCGGGGGCGATGCTCTGTGGCCCTGACACAACTTCTACTTTCACCGGCCTGGGTGGAGGTCACCCCACGAGGAGGGCCCAGCTCTCTGGTCTGTAGCCATTTACAAAAGGCCCACATGCCCTAGACTGACCACCGTGGAGGTGCCAGAGCCGCCCATGTGCTCAGCTCAGCGTCACCAGCCAGACAGGACGTGCCGCTGGGCAGGGCCTGTGAGTACTCACAGGAAGAACAGACAGCGGGCAGCAAGGATGATGGGCCAGGAAGCCCCTGCAGGGGGTCCTCACGGCAGGGAGGGTGTCCACACGCCCTGGCCCCCACGGTGGCCCCGCTGCTGCCCCGCTGGCCTCCAGCTTATAGGCTAGCATCAGGCGAGGCCACCTGCACAAGCCTGCTCCCCGGCTCTATGCTGACGAGCGAGATCACGGGGTGTGAGACAGCTAGGCGTAAACATGGTCACCTTCAGTGACCCGGGGGACACATGCGGGCTTCCAGCTATGCCCGAGACAGACGCTGGGCAGGGTCTGCACCCTGACGCCAGCTTCCCCAGAGCAGCACGGACCCAAACACGGTGAGGCCAGACCCCAGACGCCCAGCTGACCGAGGGCAATGGGAGCCAGTAACATCCAAGAAAAACAGTGGCTGCAGTTTGATGACCACACTCCCCAGATTTCCAGGCCCCTCAGAGACCCTGATCCACCTGGGAATCCTGATGGGTCAGCAGGCCCGGGAAAGTGACCTCAAAGGCCGAGCTGCAAGGACCCAGCCTGGAGGGACAACCTGTCCCCCATAAAGGGGAGGCCTTCCTGCCCCCCTGGGGCCACCCTGGCCCTGAAGGCCAAGGAGGGCACAGTGAGGAGGGCTGTGGGGCTGGGGTATTTCCAGGAGAAGAGTTTACACCCACACACATCTCAGCACCAACGTCCTGCCTGCACGTGACATCGGGGCTCCCCTCCATGTAGCTGTGAACCACATGTTTCGGGCCCCCTTCGTGGAGGCAGCTGGGAGCCCCCAGGACCGCCCCCTCCTGGTTCAGCCAGCACAGCAGCCAATGGTCATCTGACTGTGACCTCCAGCAGTCCCAAGGTAAGGGCGAGTGAGCGCATGTGCAGGGCAGTTGCGACACAGGAAGGGCTCCCCCTCCCTCCCCAGAGGGACAGTGTGATGACCACCTGCCCTCCCAGCCCTCGGCCACACAGCAGGCAGCCCTGCTCTCCCGAGGTCCCGTACCTCTGCCTCGAGGGCGCCTTGCTGGCCCTCTTCTCCTCCTCCTCCAGGCGCCGGCGGGCCTCCTCCAGCTGCGTCAGAGGGTTGGGGGCCGGGTTGGGCGGCATCGTGGGGTCCTGGATGAAGAGATGCGAGGGCTGCACGGAGGTCCGGAGCTGGGCGCTGACCCAGGGGTGCACGGCCCCGGGGCGCTCGATGGACAAGGGCCGGGAGCTCTCGTGGGCCTGCTGCTTTTTTGCCCCGGACGACCTGTGGGGCCAGAGAACAAGGTGAGCAGTGCCCACACCCCCCACGGCCCCCTGCACCTCGAACGTACAGTCCTTCCTGGAAACTTGTGTATTGAAATATAAATCACATCCTATGTGAATACTTTTTTTTTCTGCTTCCCCATGAAAACTTCTTTTAAAGAAAAGTTTTCAGTGTTATTGAAAAGTATTTTGATATTAAAATAAGCGCTCTTTGTGAAAAACCTGAAACAGTCAGGAAATTCAAAGAAAAAAGTAAATGTAATTCAGCAACAGCCACTCGGTATATTCAGTGTATTTCCTTCTCCATTAAAAACACTTGACACAGGGACTTCCCTGGTGGCACAGTGGTTAGGAATCTGCCTGCCAATGCAGGGTACATGGGTTCGAGCCCTGGTCCAGGAAGATCCCACATGCCGTGGAGCAACTAAGCCCACACGCCACAACTACTGAAGCCCCCGTGTCCTAGAGCCCATGCTCCACAACAAGAGAAGCCTATGGCAACGAGAAGCCTGCGCACCGCAACGAAGAGTAGCCACTGCTCGCTGCAACTAGAGAAAGCCTCTGCGCAGCAACGAAGAACCAACGCAGCCCAATATAAATAAGTTAAAAAGAAAAACAAAAATACTTGATGTAATTAGCATAATTCTGAACATGTGATCTTTCCTGATTTCCCCCTCCACATGACATCACGCTCCCCATCATCAGACACCGAGAATGTGCTTTACATCTGTGTGACCTGCCGTCACTCAATCACTGAATGGAATTCGAGTGAAAACATCTGCCTCTCTCAGCTAGGCTGGAGGCCTCAGAAAGGGGGGCTGAGCCCCAGGAGCAAAAAGGAGGGAATCCCAAGAAGGGGGCCCTGGGGACAGGGGGTTGACCCAGTGCCCTTGTGATGCCAGAACTGCCCAGGGAATGTACCCCAGGGGGAGGTGGACTCCTCCTAAAAAGTCCCACAAGGCCGGCCACAGGGAGACTTCACCCCGTCCCCCTACCCCTCACTCCCTGGCCCCACCTTCCCCCCATTCTCCCCTCTACGGGCCTCACCTCCCCTGGGCCCACAGATCCCAAGAAGTGCCTGGTGGAGACGCTGCAGCACCAGCATTTGATAGAACCTGCAGCCCAGCCAGAGGGCAGGAGCCTTCCAAACCCAGGAGGCTGTTTCTAGACTCTCACTCTTTACCCACAGAAGCCCTCCAACCCTCCATTTGGGGTTGGGGGAGCAGCCAAGGACAGAGCCAGTCCTTGTGAAAATCGCAAAAGAGAGAAATCCAGAGAAGCCAAAAATCCACCCCCACCAGAGCAAGAGAGGGGCTCCCAGAGAGGCCCCCCCACCAGGTCAGGCTCTGTGACTGCAAAGGGTCTGCACACCGGCAGGGGGCTTGTTCCAAGGTTACGTGGACCTTGGAACGTGTTGCCACGGGAACAAGGGACCCCGTGTTGCCAATGACCTGCCTCACCTGCCTCACACACACCACTCGGCCCTTCCCAGGAAGGCCCAGGAACGGCGAGGGCCAGAGAAGTCCGCCCGTGGGCCGACCCCACCAGCCCCAGGCCCCCCGCCCAGCCCTGTCCCCACCATGAAGGGGACAGGGGTGACACTGAGACCGACACAGAGCTCAGAGGGACGCAGACCAGATGAGAACTGCCCGCGGCAGCCGGAGGACAAGCAGGTCAGGCCCATAAGGTTCCTTGTGCAGGCCCTGCCTTAGCTCCTTCTCACAGGAGGGCAGCCATATGGCAGGAGGCCCCTCCCCGGTGGGGTGGGGGGGGGCTGCAGCAACTTCAGACTGACCCCACCAGTGGGTACTCCTGCCCAGGACATTGAAGCTCATTGACGACCCCCACCCCATCACAGGGTACCCACAGGGAGGCGTTGACCTCATGCTCCCATGGACTGGACCTAATTCCAAGGAATTCCTGCTTCCGTGGCATGTGGCTTGCACTAAGGCCAGCTGCTCAGGATGCTGGCAGAGGGGCGCTAGAGGCTGGCAGGGTGGCTCTGGACGCCTGCACCCACAACTGCACAGGGCCCAGGCCCACACACAGCTTCTCACCCATGGCCAGCCTTCCGGTGCCTGCTGATCTCCTTCTCGCCCTCGATGATCCACTGCATGATTTTCTGGTTCTTCTCTGCGTCCTCAGAGGGGCCTGGCGCCTCCACGCTGGTGCTCTTCCCCGACTCAGCCTTCTTGGAGTTTCTTTTGGAGGTCATGCTTGCCTTCCCGCTGCAAGAGCAAGACCCGGGTCACCTGCTACTTCAGCTGGCCCGATGCTGGACAGCTGGCCCAGACCCTCATGGCTATGGGAGGGTGGCCTGGAAGGGCCCCTCCCTGAACGTGGGGCCTCTGCCCTGGCTCTGCAGGCATGAGTGGGGTTGTTTTGGCGGACTCTATGGTGGGAAGGAAAGGAAGGAAGGCGTCTGGGCAGCATGGGCCGGGAGAGTTGGAGCCAAGGGGGCGGCATCCAGGGCCTGGCCACCCTTCTTCACCCAGACACTGCCCTCCAAAACAGGTGCATCTGACCTGACCATGCTTCAAGGCTGGAGCTCCAGTGGCCAGTGCACCCAGGTGCCTGCTGTCTCTGTGGCTGACCCTGATTTAATGATTTTTAAAGGGGAATCCTGGCTTGAAGGCTGAACAGAGGCCACAGTAGATACGGCCTCTCGCCTTGACCCCTTTTTCCTGGAGACACACACAGCCTCACTGACACAGATGCAGAAGGAGGGAACTGCCGCAAACACTCACCTGTAGGCCAGGCTGTCACTGGTGGTGGGGGCGGCACCCATGCTCTCCACGTGGCTTCGGGGCTTGGCCGCGTGGCCGTGCAGCTCTGGGCCCCACGCGAAGCTGCTCTGGACCCGGCGGGAGGCCTCGGCCTCGGCAGGCTCCTTGGGCCTAGCTGAGCCATGGTGGCCGTGGTGGTGGCCGTGTCTGTGGAGGTGCAGGCCAGCTGTGTCCAGCTTCGCCCCCGACTTGGGCACGTGCTTTCCATGCCCGGGAACTGTGCCTCCTAGCGCTCCCATCTTGGGCATGTGCGCACTGTCCGGGGAGCGGTGGCCGGGCCCTGGTGACTGGCAGCCCGGTGTCCTCATGACTCGCTGCACATGCTCGTCCAGGATGCTCTCCGGGTTCTCCTCATGTGCATCCCGCAGCCCCACACAGCTCACATCCGCGTAGCGGGGTGGGAAGTGGTGCCAGGCCGGGGCTGAAGGCAGCTTATGACTGGCCCCTGGGGGGCCAGAGGACACATCACCATCCTCACCTTCTTCCTCCTGTGGGGACAAGACCATATGTTACCTCTCAGCACTGGCCACACTGCGGAAACCCCATGCTTGGGGAGACAAATCGCAAGCAAGCAAAGGCCAGGAGCCCTGAGCCTGGGATGAGGCCGGGCAGGTGAGGTGCTGGTGGGGCCGCCCGACCCAGAGCTGCCCCCAGAGCCCCCCCTGTCCCTGCTGAGTCCCGAGCAAGCACAGCTGGGCTCTGGGCAGTCTGCACGGCAAGAGGGTGCAGACGGATGGAGGCTGGGCTCACCACCTGAGTGTGGCGGGTACGCGGTGAGGAGGGGCACAACGCCAGTGCCACGGAGACCACCGGGAATCCTGGCACTGGTTCCACTTTCTTTTATGCTTATCAATAAAAATTTTGTTTTTTTTTTCAGTTGAGTTTTCCTATTCCTCAATCTTACTGCCATATTTTCCATCATATTTTCAAAGGGAATGGTGCCCTTGTACAGAAGAGCTCTTGGTTTTTGCTTACCTTGCTACTGGTGTCTTAATAAATTCTGACATTAAACTAACAGAATTTCCTTTGACTCTCTGAGAATTACCATAACCACATCCATAAACATAAATATTCGATCACTTTAATTCCAAAAGATGCTGGTCACATTTATTTTCTTGTCTTATTGACGTGTCCAAACCAGAATGCTGAGTATGTCTGGTCATAACTGAGAAAACGGGCGACTAAGCCACCCTGCACTTTAACACAAAAAACCTCCAGGAGTTCACCACAAGACTCACCACTGCAAAAGTACCTAAATGTCATTCAGACATGCCGTCAGCTGTGGGCACTGCAACTCAGGATGGAAAATGGCACTGAAGAGGAGAGACAGGGAGAGAGGGATGGATGGAGGGGGAACACACACTCTGTGGGCACAGATGGGAGCTGCCCTGGCAGAGCCTCAGACCGCTGGGCTCCTGCACCCCATCCTGTGTCCCCATCCCGACCCCTGTGCTTTGCAGGGATGAGGGGCTGGGAGACTCCTCTCCAAGTCTTCCCCAGGGCACTGCACTGTTGACACTATTCACCTAGGGCAGCAGAGAGCAAGAGGGAACCTCCAAATTCCTACGGATCTGACATCTAGTTTTTCTTAATAGCTCTGCATGTGCAGAAATTCAATTTTAGAGCTCTATAATATTGATATTATACATTTACATAACCACTCAGCTGCTAGTTTTCTTTTTGTGAACTGTTTTTTTTTTTTTTTTTCGGTACGCGGGCCTCTCACTGTTGTGGCCTCTCCCGCTGTGGAGCACAGGCTCCGGACGCGCAGGCTCAGCGGCCATGGCTCACAGGCCCAGCCGCTCCGCGGCACGTGGGATCCCCCCGGACCGGGGCACGAACCCGTGAGCCATGGCCGCTGAGCCTGCGCGTCCGGAGCCTGTGCTCCGCAGCGGGAGAGGCCACAACAGTGAGAGGCCCGCGTACCGCCAAAAAAAAAAAAAAAAAAAAAAAAATCTGTAGTGGGACTTCCCTGGAGGTCCAGTGGTTAGAACTTGGCGCTTTCACTGCAGGATCCTGGGTTCGAACCCTGGTTGGGGAACTAAGATCCCACAATCTGTGCAGCACAGCCAAAAATAAAAATACTGTAGTTATTCCTCTTAAATAAGGACTCTCTCACTTATAGCTTGATTCATATAGCTTACAAAGTCACACGGAGTAAGAGACTCAAGACCGCACTGCCAGCTGCTGGGCAGGGTGCCACACCCCTGGGGACTGAGGGATGCCTGTGGGAGCAGACCAATCGGAGCAGCCGTGTGCCTGAGAACATGATCCTGAGGCCGGGCACCAATGGCCAACGGTCACTACAAGTGGCAGCCTGCCTGAGCTTGAGGCCCCGTGCCTGCCGACCAGTTCCTGAACTGGCACTAGACATTCGTTTGGACACTTTCTGTTAAGTCAGAGAACACCGTTCGGTCCAGCCCCTCCCCTGTAAGCTCATGGGCTCCAGGCACAGCCACCAAGCGCCTGTCACGGACGCCACAAAGAGAAAGAGTCTCAGAGTCAGACGTCAGAAAAGCACACTCAATACCTAGAGCTGCAGCTGCCTGTAGGATGTCTCGCCCAGAACGCTGACCTCCCAGGACCACAAGCACACGTAGCCCCTGAGCCAAGACTGAACACTTAACAGAACGATTACGAAAGCTCAAGTCCGCAATGAAAAGGTGGTGGATTCTCGCTTTCTTAAACCTCTTTCATGGAATGTTACACACGTTATGTCCTAAGCACGTTGGTTTTAAGAGCTGTTAACAGCGACGTGCTCGGGGCTGCCTCACAGAGAGGTAGTGCTGTGGAAATGCTGCTGGCCGAGGAAGACACGGCCTCGTCACACGCGTGACCTGGGGCCAAGCTCCTGCTGAAGCACCTGCACTCCACGGGAACTCTGATCTGTGTTTTTTGTGGTTGTTTTTTAACATCTTTATTGGAGTATAACTGCTTTACAATGGTGTGTTAGTTTCTGATTTATAACAAAGTGAATCAGTTATACATATACATATGTTCCCGTATCTCTTCCCTCTTGTGTCTCCCTCCCTCCCACCCTCCCTATCCCACCCCTCTAGGTGGTCACAAAGCACCGAGCTGATCTCCCTGTGCTATGCAGCTGCTTCCCACTAGCTATCTATTTTATGTTTGGTAGTGTATACATGTCCATGCCATTCTCTCACTTTGTCACAGCTTACCCTTCCCCTTCCCCGTGTTCGTTTTTTCAGAGCGGGGTCGCAGGAGGCGGAAACCATGCCCCTAACTGTCCCTTCAGCTCCTCCACAGGCCTCACGGCCTGAATGAGAGCAGCTCAGGCAGCGCAACCCCCGACCCCAGCCCTGCCGGCCACTCCCTCCCAAGCAGTGAGACCAAGTCACGGGAGCCGGCAGGGTGGGTGCCTGTCGGGTGACCTCGGGGGCTGCGCGAGGACATCTGGTCAGCTCAGGGGAAGCCCTCAGGCCACACCTTCTCTGCTGTGAGGGCCGTGCCGTTGCCATGCGGGCGGAAGAGGAGAGCGAGGGCCAAGCAGGCTCCCTGAGGCTCCTAGCAGCACAGCCCTGCCCACCAGCGTCTCACTCTCAGGGCTGCCTTCTGGTGCTGTGAGGGGTCCCAGGTTCTGACACGCTACGGGAAACCTGCCTGCTGTCTCCCTACAGGGGAAGATGGGGGAGCCAGGCCCCCTGTTTCAGGGCTGGGCATCACTGGGAGCTCTGGAGCCGGGTGCAGGCGGCAGGAGAGGGGACCTCCAGGTGTGACCACGTGCCAGGCCCCATGTCCACCCTGATGGCAGTGCCTCCAGACTGTCGTACACACGGCCCACCCGGGGAACGCGGAACTGAAACAGCAGGGCCCTCCCAAGGGTTCTGATGGGGTCCAGCGAGGGCTCAGGTCCTGTATATTAAATAGGAAGATCGGGTGGAGAAACAACTCCTTCAGGAAATGTCACATTTTTGAGTTTCAGGTATTGGGCAAAATATCGAGAAGAGAACAGATTTCTGCTCTAAGAGAAAAAGCAAAGGCCCGTGGGACACAGAACTGAGGCCCACAGAGTCCAGGGGGGACTGGGCACAGGGAGGGCGTGTGAGGGGCACGCCTGTCACCAGCACCTCTGCACGGAGGCCCTGAATGTGTGGAAACGAATCTAGTAGAATGACACGCCCAGGGCAACAAAAGCAAGGTATCTCTGGCAGTTATGGGCAGAAAGGTATTAACGCAAATAAATTACAAATATTATGAAACTTCTGAGCCTCCAAAGTTCCATCAAACAAGGCTGCAGGTCAGAAAACAAGACAAAACAGAGCTTGTGTCCAGACCTAAAAGCCACTCTGCACTCGGAAGTGACAAGTGGGAGCCTCCTGCCCCTCCTGCCCATGTGAGGGCATCTCAGCTCCGCGTGGCAGGGAGGGCACTGAGCAGGATGCAGGCCAGGCCTGGGTCCGCGAGCAGGTGTCATGGGAGAGCTGCCCATAAGCCCCCAAGTCGGGGTGGAGCATGATCCAGTGGGGCGGGGAGGTGCTAGGGGGCCCTGGTGGGAGCAGCTCAGGGCCTGAAGGCCCCCTAAACTCTACCGAGTGTGGTCACACACCTCAGTGACCCGGCGTGGCGCCCCACCATGGGACCCACTCACCATCCGGACACGCTTCAGCCGCTCCTCCAGCTTCTCCTCGGCCTCCCGCGTCCGCTGCACAGCCTCCAGGCGGTGGATGAGCTCTGCGGCAAACTTCTGGGGCTCCACACGGACTTCCTTTGGCATTCGGTACGTGCGCTGCAAGGAGACGCTGCTGGTGAGCCGTACGTGCAGTGTGGAGCTGCTCCGCGCCCGGGTGGCCTGCCACGCCACAGGTGAGGAGAGAACATGGGGCCTGCATTTTATCCAACCCAGAGCTGACCCAGCAGTGAGAACGAGCAGACACCACCACTTCCCATCTCACATGACCCTGGATGGAGACACTGAGCAGGCCGGGAGCTGCGTCCCCAGGACAAAGGCCACCCCGGCGCCCTCAGCCCAGGGGCGCCTACCCAGAGAGCTTCTGGCCCGTCCCAGAGAAGCGCTTCTCGTGACTGCCCAGGCTGGGACCCAGGGCAGCTGGGGCCGTGGCAGAGGCGTGGCAGGAGAGCTGCAGCTGCGAAGACCACTGAGGACAGGACGAGCCCACGGGCCAGAAGGGCTGGCCGCTCCCTGCAGCGCCCGCCCTGCACACAAGGGGGCAGCAGTGCCTGGCACTCAGGTGTGTGTGGACCAGGCTCTGGGCTCTGATGTTGGGATGAGGGACACAAAATACTGGGTACAGGAAAGAGTCAAGGGAGAGGTGGGATGACAGACGGCTCTTCCTTTCAGAGAACATAATTCCGCGATGCAGTTTACAACAATACACTGGATAGCTTTTTCTTTTGTGGGGGTGGGGAGTAGCTAGCTTTAATGTGAAATAATTTCAAATCCAAAACAATTGCAAGAAGAGTACGAAGAACTCCTGTGCACCCTCACCTGGACCCCAGCCCACTGCCACCTGCCACACTTGCTGTAACTTTCTCCCCTAGACACAGACAGGCACACACTTTCCTGAGCCAGCAGAGAACACGCTGCACATGTGACGCCCGCTAACTCCCATACGCTTTAGAATGTATTTAACAAAAACCAAGGACAATCTTGTACCTAGCTACAGGACAATTATAAAAAAAAAAAAATCCTGATACAATATTCTTATCTAATCACAGATCTTATTCCAATTTCACCAGTTGTCCCAATAAACGTCCTCTATAGCAAAACATGTTTTAAAAATCTAAGCCACTGAGGTCTAAGTGAGGGAGGGATGGGAGTGGCAGGAGTGCTGCATGAGGAGGCTGGTGAGGGAGAGGGGAGACCCAAGGGAGGGAGGGCCTGGAAGGGCCTGGGGACAGGGTGGCGCACAGGGGCCCTCTCTGACCTCTGGGTGGATAGTGGCTATGTAGAACCCTGGCCTCCAGACAGAAGCAGGCGAGGCGGGAAGCCGCGGGACAGGGGTGGGAGCCTGGGTGGAGCTGGTGCCCACACAGCCCTCCCACCAGGGGGCTCGGGACATGGTCTGGATCTGCACACCCATTCCTCATCTACAAGACAGGAGTGAGACCAGTTCCTGGTTCCTCAGAAACATGTAAAATTCGGGAAGAATGTGACATCAAGGGCTCAGAAACAAGCCACTGAGGCTGACGCTGACCACGACAGGCTCGAAGAGGCCTGGACACAGGCCAATGCTTCAGAGGCGGAGAAGCTGGTGCCAAGGGCCAGGCAGTGCCCAACACCAGTCAGAGGTTTGTCCTGGAGCCAAGGAGCCCATGCCCAAGAAGGGCAGTCAGGGTGCCCAGCACTTCTAGAAGGTCCTGAGAGAAGGTGGGCGTGGATGATGAGCCCCAGACAACTGGGTGGTGGGACGGCCAAAAGGCCGGGCCCTGGAAGGAGTCCTCAAGAGCGGGCGTTGGGACAGACCATGGGGACCTGAGGGCAGCCCGGCCCCACCAAGCTGGCTGGTCAGAGGTCAGAGGTAGGAGAGCCGGGGCAGGGAGCACTGAGCCAAGAGTGCTGTGACACTAGCACGACATCCAGATGGTGAGAGCACACGGTTCTGACCACACAAGAGCAGAAGGAAAAAGTTCTTGATGAGATCCAGCGACTCCATTCTGGAAAACAGCCTCCAAGCTGTGCAGCTGTGACTCCAAAAATAGGAAAGCTGTCAGAAGTTACAATGATTATCAGATTCATGGAAGAACGGTAACCTCTCCAGCTTTGAAGAAATTTAAAAAAAACCACAAAGGAAAATATTTCAAGTAAATAAAAATGTGAAACTTCTGAGGAATCTAAAAGGCCAACAAAGAAAGAAGAGGCTCCTCTCTCAGCCTTAAGGATCTCAGGACCAGACACTTCACATGTGGAGGGCCACAGGCTCCCCCACACGCTGGCACCTCTCTCCCACGACAGTCACCCACATGCGTCCCCTCCACTGGCCTCCCCAAACCCCCGTGCATCTTGCAGCGAGGAGCACTGAACACAGTAGACCCCCCGAGAAATGGCAACTCCCAAAAAAGACATACAACGGCAACAGGAGTCCCAGCTCCCTGGACCCACCTCCGCCCAGCACCCAGCGTCTGGTCCGACAATCAAACAATGTGCACGGGCTCCCGGGGTACCAGCCACAGAAGACATATCGCTGGCGAACAGAGGCGCGAAGCAGCATTCTCTTCCCGTTGGCGGGGAAGGTGTCCACGTGAGTCGTGGCGGATGAGGCTGAAGTCTCTTCACCTTGAACCTCAAACCACATCACTGAACAAAACTCGGCTGCACCTTCTGCCCTGAGCACATGGCCAGGCTGAGCACAGCTGCTGACCAGCCCCCGACCAGCCCTCGCCCTGGCAGGGACTGCGCTCCCCGCGTGCAGACAGCTGCACCCCAGGGAGGACTCCCCCGACTGCAGGCCACTCACAGTGTTTCTCCTCTCACCCCATTTACCCGGCACGGCCGTTCTCTTGAATCTGGGCTCAAGGTGCAGGGCCTGGAAACACAGACCCTCAGGATGCAGGACTGCCCGCCAAGGGCCTTCCGGGACCCAAGGGCACCGCTGTTCTGATTCTGGAAGCTGCTCGGGCGGCACGTGGGCTCTGGGCCACCCTGTCCTCTCCGCCCCTCTCAGTGCTGCACGCAGACAATCCGCCCCCGTGCTACTCCGGCTCTTTTGTAGGTTTTGTCTAACACTTTGCTTAATTTTTCAAAGTAAAAAAATTTTATTTTGGAAAAAATCTCAAACTTGCAGACAAGTTGCAAGAACATGAAGAACGTTTTTTCTGGATCTGACAGCAGACGGCGTGCTTCCTACATGCAGGGACTCTCCCACACGAGCACCTCCAGCCCCGACCCGCCTCCCTGGGCTCACCCTGGAGGGTGCGGTGGCCTCAGCTGGGTCCACATGGGATTTTCATGACCCCGTGACCTATGAGAGTTAAAGGGCAGTTCTTGTGCAGGACGGCCCTCGGCTCAGGCTATGTCCTCGCAGGAGTAGCTCTGGCGTCCTGTCGCGGACGTAGGAGCCCAGGCAGGTCCTTTCACAAAGCAGCTTTCTCCCCCGGGAGTATGTGGTCTGTGAGGGGACACTGGGGACGATGCTGACACCCTGCTCATCAACGGGCTCGACCCCCCCCCCGTCACGTCAGCATCCACGCACGGACCCCACTCCACGGCACTGACTGTGACCCTTTCCGTGTCCCCTCACACCCCTATTTTCCAGGACACAAGATGCTGGGCACCTCTTCTGTGCCCCTGCCCAGCCTGGTCCACAGAGCAGAGAGGACACGTGTGGCCATGGCCTCGGCTCAGGCCCAGGCTGCTCCAGACATGAGCCAGCTCAGCGCTCCCCAGGAGGCTGCCCACAGGCAGGCACACGCATGCGCACATGCGTACATGTACACACACACGTGCACACACAGCCCTCATAGCGTCTTCCACTTGTCCCTAAGCAGACACCATCGGTGCCTGGTTCAGGCGCATCTGTGCCAAGGGGTAGCTGGGAGGTGACAAAATGCCCTCTTCTCAACCATATCACTTTTCTTATTTGGAAATTAAAGCATCTACAGAAAAGTGAAAAGACTCTAACCAAGGAATCCTGATGCAGGGCAGGTGTGTGCAACAATTCTGAGATGCATCTGCTCTCCCTGCACAGAAACCGCCAGGAAGACACGAGTCACTGTGGATGCACCAACGCGACAAGACCACATCTTCCCTGCAAGGTCTTTCCCGCTCCAAGTCAACGCGTCCAAACGAGAACAGCTAATCCCTCCCGTCATCAGCAAAGGAACTCTCTGCCCAGCCCCACCCTGCACTGGGCTCTCTGAGGGTCCCCAGTGCCCACGATCAGTGCCCACTATCACCTTGTTATTTTTATCCAAGAGGTGAAGTTGAGGCAGCTTTGAAGTCAGGATGCCCCACAGTTCAGCCACAGGCGGCCGATGCCTTGTTTCATCCCGAACAGAGCAGTGCTCATGGGTGCTCAGGACGGGGGCACTGCCACGCTGTCCCACAGAGCCGCCGGCCGCCAGTCTGGCCAGGCCTGGGCATCGAGCCAGCGACAGGCTCCGAGCGGTTCTCCCACCTCCAGGAGAAGCACCTCACTTAACACGATGGGAAAGGCTGTGAGGAGGGCAGTCCCTGCTCATCTGTACCGACTGTGCAGGCACTACCCCCTCCAGCCACAGGGCGAGAATGCGTGTGACCGTGTGCCGTGCCTGGACCTGAGCTGAGCTCCTCGGAAGCCAGGCCAGTGCCACAGCAGCCTGGTCAGAGTGGAGAGAACGGGTGGGCACGGGTCCAGGAGGGCAGGTGAGCCCCAAACTCGGAGACGGGGAGGGCGAGGGCTGTGCAGACGAACTTACAGGAATGTGAGGTAGAGGCACGCGCCCGTTGACCTGGACGCTCTCCTGCATCTCCCGGCGGTGCTGCTTGCGGATCCTGTAAGGTGGGACTCCATCCCTGTCCAGGAGAAAGAGACAGTCCAGAGTAAGCACAAATAGAATGGCTCAACCAAGTTCAGCTGAGCTGGCTTTATCTAGAGCAGGGCCAACACAGCCTATTTTTCTGAGGTGTGATGGGCTAAGAATGACTTTTACATTTTTAAAGCAGAGGAGGAACATGGGACAGAGACTATTCGTGATCCTTTATGGAAAATGTGTGCTGACCCCTGCTTTACTGCCCAGGCAGGATATGGTGTGCCTACCTGGAAGGGGTGCTCTAAATGGACTGGAAACATTGGAGGGCTGCAAAATGGGTGGCCAAGACAATCTAGATACCGTTGAAAGAGATTTCCAAGGTTCCTATATTCTGCTTTCTTCCAAGGTAAATTGGTAATGCAGTGTAATCTCTCTGTCAAATGCTCAAATTAGCTTCCTTGACGTAAGTTTTAGTTATAAACCCTTTTGAAGATTATGATAAAAATAAAAATTAAATTACATACTGTTGGGACTTCCCTGGTAGTGCAGTGGATAAGACTCCACACTCCCAATGCAGGGGGTCTGGGTTTGATCCCTGGTCAGGGAACTAGATCCCACATGCATGCTGCAACTAACAGTTCACATGCCACAACTAAGGAGACCGTGTGCCGCAACTAAGGAGTCCTGGAGCTGCAATTAAGGAGCCCACCTGTTGCAACTAACACCTGGAGCAACCCAATAAATAAATAAAATTTTTTTTAAATTACATACTGTCTTTAAAATAATGAAGCACTTATTCAAGAGAAGTAGCAGATCCAACACATGGCTCACTGCACACGTACTGTCCCTTAAGAACTTGGCAGCTCTCTCCTGCCATTTGAAAGCTACTCTGGGGAGCACAGTGGCCAACAGGAGCCTTCTCTGGTCCCCGCTTCTGTCTCTGAAGGACTCTGCGGCATGCTGCCACCTCCGACAGCTTGAAGAGATGGCCCTCCCAATCGTCTGCTACTGAAAGACTCTAGCCTCCCAGTTGTCCGGCAGGTGCAGTGAACGTCTGTGCCAGTGATCCTAACCCCTTGCATCCTGCTCAAGCACTGCCCACAGGGCAAGTGCTGCCAGAGCAGTGCTGTTTTCACTGGACACCAGGATGTGAACACGCAGCCATGACAATTCTGATCTCACTGCATCGACTGCTAGAGCGCCTAGCAAAGGCACCAAGCACACAGCACTCGGCGTGTCCTGGTCCCATCCCGGGCAGACACACATCCACAGCTCTGTGGCTTTGTGGGCGGGCAGGGCTGCACCCCAGGCTGGGTGGAAAGGGTGCACTTAGGTTCAGAGCAGGGCAGAGAGAGGCTGTGGTGTACCCAGGTGTCCCTGGCTGTCAGGGTCCCAGGCAGTGCCACAGTGCAGATGGCTCAGCAGTCCAGCAGGGCCAGGCTGCTCCAGGGGACAGGCATCAGCGAAGAGCGTCAAGTACATCTGAACGCCCTCACATATCCCAGGGCTTGTTCAGGTGTCCCAAGCCACCAACTTGTCTGTTTCTCATGTACTCTGACAGGGCACCTAAAATCCATACGCTTCTGAGGATCAGGCACCATCCTCAGAATCTATGCCCGAAGTCAATGGACTAGGAAGCACTTCACCAGGTGGAGGCGACCCTGAGTTGCCATCAGAAATAATTTAGATGAAACACACGATCCTCTTTTTTGCCTCATATACATTCAAATATCTGCCACAATTTTACATCCCTAATTCTCGACTATGCTACACTTCTGAGTCTCAGTGTAAACCAAGATGAAGAGAACATCAGGGAAAAAAATATTAAAAAATGTTTAGATCTTCCCTTTAGCAAACACATGTCCTTTTCTTGGAGAGAATTAAGAGACTAATTGTCATTGCAGTAACTGAGTTTTGGGGAAGAGGAAAACAGATCTCGTGCTGTCAGCTGCTCCCGGGGGTCTGAAGGGCTGCAGTTCGTTGGAACCCTTTTATGTGATACTTCATATTCACGGAAGGTAGTGTTTGAAACCCCAGTAATTTCAACTATGTTGTTAAAAACATGTCAACATTTCATATTAAAGATTCAAGACAAAGGAGAAGGTAATGATGAATGAGAAATGCCCCACAGAGGCTCAATCTGACGGGATGACGCCTCCACCATGTGGTCACCAAAGGGGAAGAGAAAGGGCACCAGGTGCACACAGCACGGGGCTACAGGAACCTGCTCAGGGACCCGTCCCATCAGCGGCCTGACCCCCCATCCCATCCAGCAGCCTGCCCCATCCCGTCCAGCGGGATGCAGCGTGGAAAGCAGCGCAAAGACACAGGCAGTGCAAAGCGTATACCGAGAAGACGGCCCACAGAGCAAGACCTCAACGTGGAAAGGCCTGCTCACCTACAAAGACGAGCTCGGCAGCCTTTTCCTCTTTATTTAGACCTATCTGACCTCTAGACCCTAGCCAGGGCGGGAGCAGAGTCCCCATGACCCGCTGAGAGCAGCCAGGGCCACAACCCCACATGCTCTCGTGGGGACAGGACACCTGCAGATGCGGCCACGGGCCCACACCTGCTGGCTTCACAGCCAAAGGATGCCTCCTGCCCTGGGCCTGGGCCCGGCCAGAACCTTCCCCTCGGTGGTGGCCAGATGGCAAACGGCGTACGACCGAAAGCTGGGCGAGCCTGACACTCATGGGTGGTGGATTCAGGGCCCCAAGTGACCCAAGCAGGCAGATAGGCAACACCCTGATGTGACATGGGCATGGTCTGACACAATCAAACTTCTGACGCACGCCTGGGTCCCCAAAGTCACCTGCTGAACCAAAGAGAAAGGTATCAGAAACAAGCACTTCCCCCCAAGGGAGGGTTTTCCCTGGAGAGGACGATGAAGGAAGCTGTCACCATCAAGTGACAGAGGCTCAATGTGGCTCCTGTGGCCCCTGGTGGCCACCCCTGAGCTGTCGGGCAGAACAGAACCACACTGAGGGGACGACAAGCACGGCTGAGCAGGTGAGACAGCTTCCAGATTAAAGGAGCGTGAGCGCAGAGCAGGATGGACCGGAGACGCCCTCGGGGACGGCCCGCCTTGGCTGCGCCTCCGACGTGAACACCAGAGAGACCCAGAACCTGGGGCGCCAGCCCAGGCAGCTCTGAGGCTTTCCCTCTTCCAAAGGTTCCAGCAGCCTTGGCCTGGAGGGAAGCAACTACAACAAACCTTGGCTCCAGTTTGCTTGCGGATTTCTAGCGACACTCCCTGCAATGTGGATGCACTGACACCCCACTGGGGAGGGCCCCAAAACAGCTTCTGGGGAGACGGCCCTGGCTGCCCCTTAGGGGCTGCTCTCCCACGCAGGGGCACTTACACGCTGCTGTCGGTGAGGGACAGGCTGTCAGCATCGCTGGACAGGCTCTGCTGCTCACTGTCGTTGGCGCTGGTGGCTGGGGCGAGGGCATAGCCAGAGTTGACGTAGTAGGGGTTGACAGGCTCCCGCCAGGATCCATACCTGCCAACAAAGAGGCACGTTAGCAGCTGCCGGACAACGTCCTCATGCATTTATCCACATTTTCATAATCATCTGATATCCCAATATGTCAACTGCAGATGCAAACAATTCAGAAGACGGAGCAGAAAGGGCTGGCGTCTCCACCCTGCCTCCCACCCCGCTGTCCTTCCCAGGGAGATGGGCATCTCCCACATCTTCCCTCCACATGAGGCAGACGTGTAAGTGAACACACGGAGCGTTATTTGGGTTGGCATTTTTATGCACGTAACTGGAAACGGGGCACGGCTGCTCTGCTCTCCCTGCTCCTACAGAGCGCTGCCCGCAGACTCGCTAATCAGGCGCAAAGCCACCCGACCCTGTGGGCACAGCCGTAGCACCGGTGCCACGGCCCCCTCAAGAGGATCACGGAGTGGGCCAGGACTCCCATGCACTGAGAACTGCCACAGGACGGATGAGGGGGATGGTGGGTGAAGGGACCTGTGGGTTTAACAGTGGCTGTCTCGATGCCCCACCGGCCACTTCTTCCCAGGAGCAGTCCAGCACTCCCTGGGTGGGACCCAACACCACTTGTCACGTGAATAGCCAAAAACTGACACCTGGGTTTAGTCTGCATTTCCCTGGTTGGTGGTCAGGCTGGAGGTTTGGGTGTCACTTAAATTCCCTCCTCTTTACCTGTTCATACCTCTGTCCATTTTCTATTAGACTGTTTATGAGTTTCTTAGTGATCTACAGATGCCTTTAAATGTTCTTACTATTAACCTCTGGTTATATACGGGAAAAAATTTTCTCCCTAAATGTCACTTTTTAACATTGTTTATGTTGATCTTGATATTACAAAAGTTTTTTATTTCTGTGAAATCAGATTTACCAATCTTTCCCTTTATAGATTTTTCTGTATCTTACATAGGCCAGCTTTCCTCATTCAAAGATTACAAATATATTCTTCTGTTTTTCCTCAAATGCTTCAATCGTTGTTTTTTTAAAATTTAGGTCTCTGCCTGAAATATGTATGTGTAAAACCTACCTACTCCCTTGTATCAAAATGGAGAGCCAGCCGTTAGCATTAAGTACTGCACAATCCACCTTGTTCTGAATACTTTCACACCTAACTCCCCGAACACATGCATCGGTTTCTGGAGTCTACTCTGCTCTGCTCATCCCACGACGGCCCTACCGGCCCTTCGCTGCTGCTCCCCACACTGCCTCCTCTTCCCAGAGCCTCCCTGGAAGCAACGCTGGTCAGTCCCTGCGGGCTGCCGAGGGCTACGACGTGCTGGAGGCCCATCGAGCCCGTGCAAACGCCCCTGGCTCCAGCCTTGCTCTGGTCAGGGCGCTCGTGAACAGCAGCTGCACTGACTCCAGGGACATGGTAGGAGTCACCTCATCCCTTGGACTTGTGTCCTCGATGCGGGAGGAGAAGGGACCACAACACTTCTAAATTGACGGAGCCCCGTGTGGACGCCCACCACTGGAAGAACAGAACTTCTGGAAGCCCTGGTTTGTGCTGTGCACACACTCAGGAAAAGGCACCTTTCCATCTTGGACACCTGTCATGCAGCACACGTGGGCCAGGCCGGGCAGCGCAGCTGGAGAGGAGCGGCCCACCTCCCCAGGGGCCACAAGCACAAACAGTGCAGCCATGGCACCCCACCTGTTCTGCCACTGAGGCCACAGTAGTGGATGGTGATGTGGCACACAACTCTCCTGCCAGCTCAGGATCAGGTGCTCATCATCCCCACACCACAGGGGGACACTGCAGAGGGTCAGTCACCACGCACCACGGTCCTTCTGACCCACCCACGGCAGCCTGAGGGCATCCCTGGAGCCCACTAACATGTTCTGGCCAAATGAGGGCAGCATCAGCGTCACAGAGGCTTATGGGAAGGGATGGGGACACGTTCACAGATGGGGACCCGCACGCACCTGGTCCTACGTTTACGCTGACACGGAGCAGACGTCTGCAACGTCACGCTCTTTCTCAGGGACACTGCTATTCCTCTGGTTCTTTAAAAACAAAACCGCCAGTGCTGTCACCATTACCAGCCACTGTACTGGAACTCAGATCACAGGGAGCGCTAAGCTGCTCTTCAGTGTCCCCGTCACGTCGTGGCCAGCACCCCGCACACCCATGAGGGCAGGACCAAGCCTGCGACGCCAACGCACCAGGGCCGTCTGCTCCCTCCTGACAGGTCCCAGGCACGTCTTTCACGCGTATAGAAAAACCAGCTTTGAGGCGATAAGCAGGAAAAAACATGGATCCTTTCCACGGCCTCCAGTACAGAGCAAACCCCACTATGTACACAGCTCCCAGTCCAGAACAAAGGGAAGCAAAGGGCTGTCGAGAGAGAACAGAAAGGAGGTAGACCAGCGAGGTGCTGACCGTGGACAGGAAGGCTGGCTCTCAGGACAGAGGCGCTGCAGGCTGCCGCGCGACAGAGGAAGTTCTGGGAAATGTCACTCGGGGGACGCTGGGCTGCTCCCCACAAGACGGCCAGGAATCAGAACCCAGATGTGGCATCCAGGGAAACCTCCAAGCTCTCTGTAGTTTCCAGTCCTCGGAATAAAAGCCCGCCGGGGACCGTCCGGCCTCCCTGTCGCCTGCTCTCTGGGGTTGCTGCTGGCAGGATTTTGCTTTCCATCCTTTCACACTCAACCCTCCTAGATCCTTTTATTTTGTGTGTCCTTTGTAAGCAGCTAGCCTTTTCAAGTTCCAGTTTGACCATTTTTCCTTTTAATTGCTTCCTTTGGTCCTGTTGCATTCAATGTGGTTACAGAGAGTGGATCCACCGTCTCATTGTTTGCTTTCTGTTTGTCACAGCTGTTCTATCTTCTTTTGTTCTTTCTTGCCTTCTTTTGGAATATTTTTTATTTTCCATCTCCTCCCTCTAACAAAGTAAGCCTTTTACTATTCTTTCAGTGGTTCCTTTAGAGATTATAATAGGTACCCTTGATGCATCAAGGTCCAATTAACTGCATTTTACCTGTTCCCAGGCAACACATGGTCAGAATTAACTCCACTAGGGACAGTCCAATGGTTAAGACTCCGAGCTTCCACTGCAGGGGGCATGGGTTTGATCCCTGGTCAGGGGACTAAGATCCCGGCATGCCCCCCAAACATAATTAACTCCACTCACCTCCACACACACTCATGTGCTGTTGTTATCCTGGACTTTAATTCAGTGTAATGTCTTAAATCCCACAAGACATCATCAGTATTATTTTATCCTACCAGCAGTCACCTAGAGTTACCCACATACTTGCCCTTTCCCTCCTGCATTGGGTGTTTCCACCTGAGAGCATTTTCTTTCTGCCTGAAGAACACCCTTAAGTATGTCCTTTAGTAAAGGGGCTGCGGCTGACAACTTGGTGTTTGTTGGTCTGAAACTGTCTTAATTTCCCCTTTATTCCTGAAGGGTATTTTTACTGGGTTGGAATTCTGGTTGGTAATCATTTTCTGTTTCTAGGGAACTTTGTAAGCTTTTGGTGGGAATGTAAAATGGTACAGTCTCTGTGGAACACAGTGTGGCAGCTCCTAAAAATTATAAGAGTCACTATATGATTCAGCAATTTCCCTTCTTTGCATATAGCCAAAGGAATTGAAAGCAGGGTCTTAAGAGACGTCTGTACACCCAGGCACTTTGAAATGTCACTCCTCATCATCGACCTCTCCACCTCCCGCAGCTCCTGGGAAGGTGAGGTGGTGCCGGCCCCACCCACCCGCCCTGTTGCTGCCCCCCCTGCCACACCCGCCCCAGGCAGGCTCTCCTCCAGGCCCAGCGCCTGAGGCCAGAGTGCCACATCAACCCACACTTGGGATGCACAGCGGACAGACACGCCACAGACCAAAAACAGCAGGCAGCGCAACCCTGACATGGAGGTCGAGCTCGGACCCCGTCCACTGTCCCAGGAGTGGCCTCTAGAGCTATTCCTATGTTCCAAGATGCAGGCCACAGCCACACACTGACTGTCGTGTCTTCAGCCGCCTTCAATCTGGCTCCTAGTCCACCTCCTTCCCGAAGTGACACTCTCAAGAGCCTGGGCCAGTCGTTCCACAGAATGTCTCATGTGAGATCTGCATCTAACATTTCTGGCAGAACGTCACAGAAGCGATGTTGTATCACCTCAAGGAAAACCATGGGGCTTCCCTGGTGGCGCAGTGGTTAAGAATCTGCCTGCCAATGCAGGGGACACGGGTTCGATTCCTGGTCCAGGAAGATCCCACATGCCGCGGAGCAACTAAGCCCTTGTGCCACAACTACTGAAGACTGAGCCTAGAGCTCGTGCTCTGCAACGAGAAGCCACCACAATGAAAAGCCCGCGCACTGCAACAAAGAGTAGCCCCCGCTCGCTGCAACTAGAGAAAGCCCGTACGCAGCAATGAAGACCCAACGCAGCCAAAAATAAAAATAAATAAAATAAAATAAATTTATAAGAAAAGAAAAAAAGAAAAACACCATGCCAGTTGGTCCCAATATTGGTGGCAAACCCAGTGCCTGCCAAGTGTTTCCACTCTAAATTTATTACTTTTCCTTTGTAATTAAGAGGTAATTTGTGGCGGAGATACTTTGAGATTATATACAAATCCTGTTCACACCCATCACTTGATCTGTATTTATCAGCTGGCATCCTATGTACCCGAGCGGATTTTTATTTTATCCAGTGGATTATAATCCATTCCTTCCAGCTCTGCTCTTCCCAGAGCCCAGAGTCTGTCTGAGAACACTCCCCCACTCCCAGCCCCAGACCTGACAGATTTCCACCAAGGAGGTATCCGTAAACCTCCTTACCACCTGGATCCCCAAGGCTTCCTCCTCCGCATTTTTTATCACATTGTCTTGTATTCTTGAGTGCCTGATTATTTTTCATTCAGTACCTGGTTATTCTGGATGGAAAGCCAGACCCTGTGTGAAAATCTTTCTAAACTGGCCACCTGGGATGATGCTTTCTTCCCTAGAGCGTATGCATTTTACCCTGGCCTGTGGCTGGTGCACTAGGAATCC